GATACCTGATCCCTTCGACACCTCATGATCGCACAGGCTGGTGTGCTTCTTCCATGTGGGCTTTGTTGCTTCTGGGCTAGATGGCCGCTTGTTTACCTTCAAGCCGTTAAGACCCCAGATGCTATATCTTTTGATAGCCGTGCAGTCTCTTTTGACATGCACTTTTGCCTTTTCTTTCTTCCAAGTCTTTTTAATAAGCTTTTGCTTTCTTCATGTATAATGGTCTTTTTTTCTATGTTGTAAAAGTTATTATTTTGAAAATCTTATTTAATGTTAACAAATTTTATCTAAGGAATTTTACATGTCTTTCTCTCATTTTCCACCCCTCCAAATTTTGTAAAAGCCCTTTTTAAAGGAACCCATGAAAAAATCTACCACCATTGTCCAGTGCTCATTAATCTCAGATCTCTCATAATTCTTCTAGTTATGCCACTTTAACCTATAATAACAGACAAATGTCAAACATTTCATGCCTGAAAAATCTGTTATTCACTTCAGGGTCTTCTTTGGATCTGTGTAGATTCTGCCTTTCTGTGAATTTCAGACATCCTACAAAATGTGCAGCTAACTGCAGATTATGCCAATGACGAAGGATCAAAACCATGTAGCCATTAGAGATTGTTCCTACTATCTACAAATGTTTGTCTTGTATCTCTTTCTCACAGATCCAACCAATAGTTCTGCAAGTAAAGCAAACCACACAGGTGCTGTATGAGGTTTTCCCAACGATGTGGGTCGCCAGACAAAGCCCCATTGGGACGTATAATGTTCTTGATGTCATTGCACAGTTCATCTGGTTATTAGTTATTAGTATGTAATGAATCAAATCTGTTCTTGAGATGGTCATGAAATTCAGGTGGGACACACTCAAAGTTGCATTTTGGCTCTTTTGGATTGGTGTTCATTTACTTCAGCTTCAACCTGAACTTACATACAAGCACTTGATGTTCATTGCCACAGTCAGCCCCTGGTGCCCTGTGATGGCTGATATTGTGTTTCTCCATGACCTTTTCCCACACATGCAGTCAATGTAACTCCATCTGGTGAAGTCCATCTGGTATACAGTTGCTGTCTATGTTGTTGAAAATAGGTATTTGCAATGAAGAAGTCATCGGTCTTGAAAAATTCTGTCATGTGATCTCTAGCATCGTTTCTATCACCAGGGCCTGGTTTTCCAATTACTGATCTCTGTCCCCAACTTTCAAATCCCAATAGCCAGTAATTAGTGATGCATCCTGAGTGCATGTTTGATGAATTTCAGACTGAAGAAGTTGGTAGAATTTTTCAATTTCCTCATTATTAGCTTTAGCTTTTGGTATATACTATTGAATAATAGTTGTATTGAGTTGAAGTCCTTGTTTGTATATACATACTATTAAATCACAGCACAGTAAACCAACCTGAAACCAAACTCACTGCCACTGGGTCATTTCCAGACCATGGGCACCCTACAGGGCAAAGTAGAATTGTCTTTTGGTTTTCTGAGACTGTAAATCTTTATGAGAATAGAAAGCCTTTTCTTTGTCAAGTGAATTGGCCAGTCGGTTTGAAATGCCGACCTTGTAGTCAGCAACTCCAGGCATAGCCCATTATACCACAAGGTTTTTGATATGATAAATTTCATGATAAATCTTTTTTGACATGATAAATCTAAAAATGCCTGTGTTTTGCTTGAAGTTATCATCACAGGCACAGCAAACTATATGATTAACTGATTCAGC